TACTATAAACAATCTATCATATTGGAGCTATGAATTTTGAACAAATTTAATTGAGTATTTTGGAGCTTATATATTATATAATATTCTTCTATATACTAGTTCTAATATGGCTAGTTCCTATAACTCTGATCACTAAATATGTATAAATAATTTACTTCAAAATCTTAAACTATTATCAGATAGTATTAACCAATTTCTCTAAGATTATTATAAAAATCTTTATAATAAGTTAAATAATTTATTTTGGAGACCTTTCATACCTCGCTATTTGGAGTTTTTTCTATAATTGCAATTAACTATAATAGTATAAGTGATTTTCACTAGAATAAATATGATGAGCCTAATAGTCTTTGTTGTCTTGTAGCTTTGAGTGATTTTGAAGACAGTGAGTTGTATTTTCTACAATTACAAATTGTAGTAAAACTTAAACTGTATCAAGTTGTAGCATTTTCTTCTCGTCTTTTGCTTCATGGTAATTTTTCAGTTACAAAAGGAATTAGATATAGTATAGTATATTTTATATATAGTATGTTTTTTCACTATTTATATAATTTCATATCAGTTTATAATAATCTTGAGGCAAAGATTGAGAGAAACGCTAATGGATCAATTGTTAAATTATTCCTCGTTAAGATCTTAATAATGCTCAAAAAATAAATAAGCAAACTAAACTCTCAACTTCAAAAGCAAATCAAATAAAAATTCTATCTATATCTTTAGATTGTAGATGAAGATATATTAGTTTAGTACGTGCTTATCAAGAATTAAAAGCAGAAGTTCTATTGTCTGATAAAATAGTATAATATCACCTACTTGTATTAAAAAATTATATAAGATTAGAATAAGAATATTATGTATAATGGTATTAAATTACAATATTATAATAATTTTTCTTTTTTTTCTGGTAAAAGTAGATTATTATCAAAATTTATAATGATATATTTTTATATTTGATATTAAAAATGAAAATTGTTCCTAGGCTGATTTTAATATAGCATTACTTGAGCAAAAATCACTATGCTGTAGTTGATAAATTTTATTTACAATAGTCATTTTTCTGGATCTTTATTCTAACATTTTTTCATAATATATTTTATATCCATCTAAAAATATTATTTTATTTAGTAAAAAATTAAAATTAAAAAAAAAATAAAATACATACAAACTCTTTCTAACGATCCTTTTTTCCAAAAATTCAGAAAAGCAAAAAACAAAAATTTTATTGTGGATGATGAAGAAG